GCCGACTTGTTGGATTCTGACGCCTAGGCAGGAGAGTCAGGAAAGGACAGAGTTTGGAGATGCTTTGGACGTCGGAGTGGTATTTATTCGGCAGGAAGGGAGGGTCTGCTCACCAGAGATCCATGCTGAGGAGCTCATCAAGCTCGAAAGCAGCCTCTTCCCATTCCTCAAAGGTGGATGCTGTCCTCAGGACATGTTGCAGTCGCTTCCGGGGAGACTTGGATCTCCACCAGGACAGTAATCGCTTCAGATGGAGAGCTGCGTTAGCTACCTGCCCAGCACCAACTAGCTTGTAGCATTCATTCACATCCACGGCAGGGCGGGATTGCAGGGGACAACGTACTTCTTTCCAGAAGAAGGCGACGTCGAGTATCATATTCAGGACAGCGAAGAATATTCGGCAGATGGTCGTCCAGGACCCCATTGCGACTGGAAAGAAACAACCGGGCTTTATCTACTCGGCGGGGAATCAAGAACAGCGTTGGCACATGGCGAGGGGAAGCAACATTCACATGCTTGACGCGGTCAGCAGGGTCTGGACAAACAGGGAAAGCTACCACGCATGTGGGGGAGAGAGAATAATGTCATATATATATAAGAAGCCTGGGAGAACAAGCAACTGATGGGCGTGAGAAAGAAAACCTCATGGGTATACAACGAGAGGGATGCGGAGAGAAGTGATGAGGGGGAAAGGCAGGCTGGAAGACAATTGTAAGAGGAAGAGGAAGAACAAGGCGATGATGACATACACAACATGGGGGAAGAGCCTCCCCGCAAACCATTCAAAATGTATGGAATCACTCCCATGATCTATACTATTATATTAATCAAACTTACCTCGACTATTTCCGATCACTCTACTACGCAGCAAATCCATGGGGAATCCGTCTAAAAAGTCGATGAGGAACAGAAAAGAGGATATTTGGATTGCTCAGTAAAAGCCGACCGGTAATTTTTTGTCTACACACCACGCACGCACACTTTGTCTTTCTTTCTCCCAACGGAGGTACAAGGAGTCATCCCGATCCGTAAACACGTCAAGGGGGGCATTTGAATTCCATGATTTTGGTTTTAAATTCCGCGTTGCTTCCCTATGCAAGTAGGCGAAAAAAAGAGATTCTCCAGACATCCGTCACTACCCACCAAGGCGGACAACCACCGTTTACTCCTCGACAATGTTACCCCGCTCCGACACGTACAGACCGTCAAGGAACTGTGCAATATTATCATGTCAGTCATCTAATTTGAAATCAGAAAGTATCCGGTGGTATTCTTCTTACCTTACGGATATCCTTGTTGCGGACACGGCAGATCTGCTGGATGTCGGCAGCACTCTGGGAGACACCCTCCAGGGAGTTACCGGAGATCTGGAGCTCATCCTTAACGTTGGGGGAGGTGATGACCTCAACGCCAGGCTGGGCGGTCACACGGCGGACGTACTTCTCACCCAAGAAGTTTCTGTATAACGCAATACCCATCAGCAAAATGTCTTTCCTCCAAGAAAAAAATGACAATTGACCCAAGCACTGGTAGGAAGAAGCCGGAACCCGAACGGGAAAAGACTCTAGAAAAAAGCCTTTGGCCTGATCCCGGCTTATCCCCCCCCCAGTCTTCGATGTGTGTGCGAGTGAATTGAGTTCGGCATACCTGATCTCAACGTCGTGCAGGCCGGTCTCGGGGTTCTTCTCAATGTTGACGTTGATGGGAAAGTGAGCGTAGACGTAGCGCATCTTGTACTTGAAGCCCTTGGTGACACCGATGATCAGGTTGTTGATGAGGGTGCGGACGGTACGAAGGGAAGCCATTCCCTTGCGGACACCGTGGTGCATCTCAATGGAGATGACATTCTTCTCGGGGCGGCCGAAGGTGACGGCAATGTGGGAGAGGTCCTTGACGAGCTTGCCTGCAAGAGGGGGAAAGGGCCCATGTCAGTGTCGCTGTAATCAGACGGGTGCGGCACATGGCTCGAGCCGTAGGCCACAAAACGCCATGTAGAACAAATTGGTCGAAATTGTTCCAGAGCCGGGCCGTGGTGGATTGTTGGAGAATTTGCATACCTCGGGGTCCCTCAACGGTCACAATGCGCGAGCGAATGTGAACCTTCACTGTATGAGGAAATTCGAATCAGTCCCATGTCCTTTTCTATCATATCACGCAAACAAAACTGAGATCGCAAGAATCGATCGCGGGGACAGGCATTCAGCGTAGCATCTCTCTTTCTTTTTCTTTTCCTTCCCCTTGCGATTGCCGGTTTGTAACTGGCGCAACGCTATCCTAAACCTCCCCCCAAATCCTCGATGCCATGCCTGTCCCTCCGTCCAGATCCTCCTCCGCGTTCACGCAGCGAACAGAGCGACAAAGATCGGGGGAATAATCGAAGCTCACCATTCTCGGGGATAGGCAGCCGTTCCTCGGAGTAAATGTACCGCATCTTGACTGCGTGGGCTGTGGTGTGTCCGCGAGGGAATTGTCGATATCGTCGAGCGGTCGGTCGTCAAAAGGATCGAAATTCGACAAGGCAAACCGCAGTCGAGGAGTGGTGGAGCGAAAATCACGGGTTGTGCGTCGCTTACGGCCCAATCCGGATTAGTCCTCTTGTCCGCCTAGGGCTGCCCGTTTTGGGTCTAGTCCCGACCCGTCTTTTGGTTCATAGTAATTTTCACGGGCAGAAAGATGATAATTAGCCTGACAATTATAATAGTGAATGACAATAATCATATAATGAATAATTATACCCATCTCTCTCTTTTGTACTCCATATCATCAATCATTTGTCCTCTTTCCTGCCAAATGAGGAGCTCGTCTCTTGCTTATTGCGTGGGCCCCCACGCATTACGGGCAGTTGACAATGTTCTCATCTCTCAAGGCTATCTAGACTCCATACTACACGAGCCAGTTATCAGAAGTTTTTTTTTCTCGTACAAAAGATCGTGGTCTCAATAATCATTACTAGTATACTTCGTATGAAAAGATCGCCTGTTTACCCCTTACTATGTACCTAGAATACATAAACCCTTCACCCACTAGGGGAAATACCTCCCATATTATGTTGTACAAGCCCGTGGTGCTTGGAGACCATCCAGCCCATTTGTATGCCAATGGAGACCATGGTTTCGGTGCCTGGTCTGCTGGTGTTCAAAAACAGAAACCCCATTGCTTCTGTCAATCCGGCCATACTAGGCATTCATCTCTTTGCTGCCTTCCTAGTGGCTTCATTCTTTACGATGGACCTCCTGGACCCACTTACCCCCCAAGCTTCTCAATGTTGAAGCCAATTCGTCCTTTTGGTCCAGAGCCGTCACATCATCCCCTCCTCCAATGCTTTTCCCGTTAACCAACACATTCGGGACAGTGCGACGCCCGGTATTTTCTCCCAGCAACGCCTGCAGCGGTCGACCCAACTCATGCTTATCAAGCTCCACCACGAAAGGTGCAGGAACAATCGAGTATTTGTCCAAGAGGATAGACTTCGCCTTGGCGCTATACGGACAGTAAGACTTGGAAAATACAATGACTGGAGGCAGCAGCACATAGGTTAGCAAACGTTCCCAAACACCAGGAGGAAGGTCTCCCGTAGTAGGAAAGGAAACAGAAAGACTGCGTACTTGGTGCCCGCTTCAATATCCCATTCAGCTCGGCCACGGCGGCCGCATGATCATCTGTCTCCGGCTTCTGTTCTTGCGGCTGTTCCGACGTCTCTTTCTCCGGATCATTTCGGTTCTTAGGTACTGTCATTTTGGTTCTGCCTGCGATTGGAATCTCTTCTACTTCATCCGCGTCATTGTTCGCCTTGGGGATGGCCGGTTCCTCCTTATCGTTGTCCATGGCAGGCTTCGTCTCCTCCTTGATAGGATTCTGTTTGGGCTGGTCCTTCTGCGGCGGTATGTTGGCTGCGGTTCCGGCTTCCTTTGCCTGCTTTTGAGCCTCCATCGCCGCCACGGTTGATCGGTAGAATTGTTGGTTCTGAACACTCCGGGATTCACTCTATATGGGAATTCATGCATCGCATCAGCCATTGTAATGTTGAACCTTCGTATGGTCACGATGTCATGGAGTATATTACCGAATAGTAGAAAATCATGATGATTATGACCACAACAGCGATGGCCAGAAGCCGAATGCGCCGCTGCGAAAGCATCTTGACAAAGGTGTGACACCACGAGTAAACAGGAGCAAGGCAGGAAGGAACAGAGAGAAGGGGGTGAATCGGCGAGAAATATGGAACACTCTCCCTCTTTTTCTCTCTCACGGTCCCGATATTGAGTAATTGCTATACGTCACAAAGATTCCGAGCCAATGGCAGCTATGCGCATGCGTTCGCGTGGTTTAAGAGTAGGCTGGTTGAGCCGACAAGTCATAGACGCAGCTCCAATTCCAAGAATAGCTGGACATTGGGCGAGCAGACAACCACGAAGCCTCTGCAAAGCTCGAGTATGGTATCAGATAAAGATAATAAATATGAGAATAACACCTTCAAGAATAATAATAATAATAATACAGTAGATTAGACCCCAAGGATAAGCATGGAGGGGAAGTAGATTAGATGACTGATGGGGGGAAACTTTGGGGAGGTTTACTTCACGGGGGGGAGAAACAAGGCAAGGATTCCGATTCATGAGGAGAGCAAGTGGGGCAGAAACAGCTAGTCGGGGTTGGCCCGCCCTTCATTTAGTTGACTACTGCTAGTAGTCCTGTCAACTCCATCTACAACATAGAACAACTTTCTATAGCCTAATTACTGACGCCTAGACAGATTCGCTAAATTTTCCTCGTTTCCATCTCTTGCACTGACACAAACATTGATTATGCATTATATTAGCAGGTATCTCTATGTATGCTATGATCGGGGTATGGAGCTAATAAAGGGATGGTATCATGATTAAAAGCACGAAAAAGCAAAGGGAAAACAACAACAGGGGCATCAAGTCTTGCTAGTGGCACGCACTAGATAGACACACATGTGGAGGAACAACAGCCGCAGCAAAGCACCGCAGAACCTGCAGCGGTAGGGTTGACCCATTCTAGACTCCATCCAGTAAACGGGGGTCTTCACCGGCTTTCTCTTCCTCCTCTTTATACGAGCAACAAGGTGCATGCATTGCATTAACCTGCATCCATCACGCTTGAACTGCAATGCCTGAACGTGTTCCAACGGTAGCTCTGCGTTTGCCCTGGACCACGATCATCCAATCTTCCCATTCCTTGGCAATCTCCATGAGCACATTGCCCATCACTGCCGCTGAGGCCATCAGCCCATGACCCTCTCCTTCCAGTACGCGAACCTCACATCGTCGCATCATTTGCCCCAGCCATCGGACGTTGTCCACCGGGACACGAGTGTCGCGGCTGCCATGGTGGATGACAACGTTGCGGGTGATATCCACATATCGGAAGCCAATGGGCTGACGACGTTCCAAGCAGACCAGCAGATCTACCGCCGGATTTGCATTCGTAGTCGCTAGCTCCCAAATCTTATGCGTAAGTCGGTTATCGTAATCGGTCTGGCGTTCCCGTTCTTGCGACGTGGCAAGTAAGGCCTGACTTGATGTGGGGTCGGCCTTCGGGTATCCCTCGGTAGCAGAGAAATCAGATGCCTTCAGTCCCTCGAGGGCCTTCAGATCTACCCCTTGCTGAGTGATCTTGGATGGGAGCCGTTGCGTGCTCTTGGCTTCAGCGCCGGTGGGACTGGAGCTATCCTTGAGCAGCCCTTTCCGCTTAGCCCGGCGCGGAGACTTGGGGAGGCTAGAGGTCAGGCTTGCACTGGTTGCAGTCATGAAGCTTGAATTGGCCACCTTGAGTATGGACATCGGTAGGGCTCGGAGAATTCGCTGGGAGTACGGGACAGCATTTGTGGGGACGGGAGCCTTTTGCGAGCCAATGCTAGACAGCTGAGAAGGTGGAATCCAGGGTGCTAACAGATGAATGCGGCCCCGGATATGCTGTGGGATCCGAAGCGCAGTAGCCAACGCATAAATAGCACCCGCAGAGTGTGCCATGATTGAAAACTTGGTAACTTTGAGGTGGTTGCACACAATGGCGACATCATCTGGGATTCAATCATCAGTAAAGACAAGGCAACAACCAACCTGGAGGATACTCACCAGGCCAACCGAGGGGGGTTCCCGCCTCGTCGACGTAGGGGCCGCTTTCTCCCACACCGGGGCGATCCAACGTAATAAGCCGCAGGCGCAGTGATCGTGCCAGCTCATCGTAGAACGCCATCAGATATCTGGTGAGGCCCATTCCAAGACAGCAAAGTACCACATATCCCTTAGGGTCTCCAACCTCGGAGAACGCTATGGTACGGCCTGATGTAGGATGTGACACCTTCTGGGTAAGTTTCGGGGAAGATATGTAGTCGTAGACTGCAAGGTCAATGGAATCGGCACTTGTGGGGCGTTCTTCCCCACTCGAGACACCAACGGGAGTAGCAGAACCGGATGGGGAGCGCTTATGGGTAAAGGCTGAGGTCGATTGTTCCATAGGACCACGGTAACGAGCAAGCTGGTCAAATCTCTCCAGAGACGGTGGCGGGTTACTGATTGACTTCGAGGCCAGCGAAGAGCGGCTCTTGCCCGTCATGACTGCTGGGGCCGGCGCACTCTCGTCAAAGCCACCATTTGCTTGTCGGACGATCTGCCTATGCTCCATCGTTTCGCTGCTGGCACTGGCATTCTGCATCTCCCGGGCAGATGCGACGGCGGGGCCAGGCTTAGAAGGCTTCTCCGGGGTATCATCTATTTCTAGTTCGCTTTTGATCTTCTGTTGCTGGTCTTTCAATTCTTGTATTCGCTTCGTTACCTGTTCGGCTTCGTTGCCCACGCCCGATACCGCACTGTCCACTTTCATCTCTCTGCTACTGGTTGAAGAGTACCGGCTATGGCGGGTGGATCTGCGGTGCTTTGGGCTGGAAGAAAAGCTATGGCGCAAGGAAGACTCGCGAGCAGGAATAACACGTCCGCTACCAATACCGCCTGGTGTACTCGGCGCACTATCCCGAGCGCTTTGCAACGAATGGCGTTCCTTACTGGAGGGTCTGCTGAATGTCGGTTCCCTGCTGGGCTCGGTGGCTGCACGCACTGGGCGTGTCTCCTCCACGACGTCAGCCATAGAACACAATGAACGTATACTAGCACGACTGCGTGGTATATTGTGTCTGAGGCCGTCGTTGAAGCTACACGTTTTGCGTAGCCGTTCGGTTTTCCTGTCCTTATCACTGCAAAATTCTCGAGATGGCCTCTTGAGGAGGCCAAACTGATTTCTCAGGCTCTTCCTAGAGCCCGAAGATGCCACGCTATTTGCTGTAGACACTCGTGGGCCCGGTTCCGTGGTGATGGTACCAAACGCAGTATCTTCATACGCTGCCTTAGATGACGTGTATGAGCCCCTAGATGTCGGTCTTCCTGGAGACAAGGGCGGATCGAAAGTCGCTTTATGTTTGGGGGATGGAGGCGCCCGTGCCATGCGAATGATAGGAGGGGCCGCCGCATCATCTGGATGCAGAAAGGGAGTCTGCAATGCCTCCTCAGACGCCTGCCGCGTCCTGTTCCTCACTGAAAGATCATGCTCGCTGGGTTGCCGTTGGTCAAGACTGGGAGATTGACCTGTGGGAATGTACACTGGCGCAGAAGGATTCGTCTCCGTATCGATGCGCGGGATGTTGTCGAAATGCGACTGGAGAGGCACCGAGATCGTTGAAAGCGAGGAAATCAGAGAGGAAATGACTTCGGGAGACGCCGGGTCAACCGCCGTTGCTGAAGGGTCACTAAGCTGCGTGCGCGAAGGGATGGACCTGTGATGCCGGGGAAGCGAAGGGGGGGAGTGAAAAGGGGCACCATCAGACTTTGACGCCAGAGGATCCTCGGCGCGATTCATGGTTGCCATTGACAAGGAATATGACGGTGTAGAAACGTTCTCCCGGGCCAGGATCAGGAGACAGTTACCGACGATATATGCGGTCGAGCGTAGTGCGCGCTTGCATGATCCAGTGAGAACGCAAGATAGCGTATGCAAGCTCGGTAGCTTAACGGCAAGAATCGATAGACTGCGGGCGCTTGGCGCATGTGCCACTTAGAATCCAGGCTGGAAGATCCAGGGCGGCCCTATGGAGCCCCTGCAGTTTGCAAAAGCAAGCCCCCTTGCCGAACGGTGATTGTCTAGAAGCAAGACCTTAACGAGGAGGGTGGGAGAGGGAGGGGGGGTTTGTTGGAACTGCCGATCCGGGGGGGGGGGGGGGGGGGAGATTGGAAGGTTGTTTTGGTTGGGGGTTAGTATAGCGCAATTGCGCGCAAAGAGTAGGAGAGAAAAAAGATTGGTGGAAGGGAGCGGATAAGATAAATATTCTTTGCATTAGATCATAATAGGAAAAGGGGAAGAAGCTAAGTAAGTGGAGGAAAAAGGACGGACGGAGGTACGATCGATAAAGGGAAATAAATGTACGGAGTACCAAAAAAAGAAAAGTATTTAGTTCAGAGGATGGGAGGGGCAGAGGAAACCTGAAGGATGGATGGAAGGAAAGAAAGAAAGTGAAGAAGATTGAAAAGGAGACAAAGAGAAAGAAGAGAAAAAGATCAATTCAATTAGTCCCCAATGCCATAGACAGAGAAAGAAGATAGAGAGGTACTCCGTAGATGCTTACTGCAACCTCACCCTCCATCTCTCATCCACAAGCAGAACACAGCTTCTCTTCTATCACCCTCACATGATGGATGCTTTTGCGAGACGGCACGCCAGGAACAAGGAGAGAGAGAGGGAGAGGGAAAGATTAATTAGTGGACTCCCTTCCAAAAGAAATTCGAGGGAGGATTTCTGCCCTGTCATTTGCCTGACCGAGTCCCCGCCCGTCTTTAGTGTCCCTGCAGGGCCTCCACTCCTCGATTCCAATTGAATGCGCCATTTCATCCTCCGCACAGTTCGCAGATCCAAATTTCATGGGTGTGTGTATACAAAAGTATCTAGTCCAGCATTGGATAGATATGCCTGCTAGCCAGGGGCACATGACTGCCTCCTCAAGAATGAGATCAGCCTTTTGTTTCAGATTTCAACATGGTAATTCTGTTTACTAGTTAGTTAGTTGGGAGACATGACCCTTGGATCTTTGCCAGGAGGAGATGATGATGATGATGATGATCTTTTTGGTATTTAGTATTCGTTCGATGACGATAAATGTCCCACCTTTGCTCACTCATACTTATTTGTGTTAATTAACTCATGGGTTAATTAGTAGTCTAGTATCTTGCTTTTCGTGCTAGCTTCGTTTCTGTCCACGGAAGCGAATTGGCGAGGAGCCGGATGGAGAGACTCCCCGTCGTCCAATTCCCCACCGGACCACAGGCTGGCTGAGATCGAAATGAGGGTCGATGCTGGTTCTGGAGCCGGGACCTTTGGAACGGAGATTTCCGTCCTCCTGAGTCCCTTGCCATCATTTGTGGCTTGTACACTGCACAGACGATCATTCATCCGGTAACGATATGCAAGGTCGTTAGACCCCCCTCCATGAGCTGGATCATAGACCTTGTGCATTCGGGCTGCATGGTATTGCGTCATGGTATAGATAGCAAGCTCAAGGCAGCGAATTTTAATGGCCCATCTGAAGGGGGTCCAAGTCGATTGTTGGCCATATTGCAGTGCACCCCTAAGCGTGGACGGTGGCTGGACTGAAAAGTAGATTTTCACAATCAAATCTGAAAGGTGCAGTGGATCCACCAAGAAGACAGATGTCCGACCTAGGGATCAACTTGAGGGGCTCGAGGTTTCGTTAGAATATGCCTGACTCGGGTGCCAAATGCACAGATGCTGTAATGATCATATCTCTTGAATCTGGAGAAGGCATGTCGAGTGGTTTCAAATGTGAAACTTTTTCCGGGGAAGATGTACTAACAGAACCTTGAATGTCGCTACTTCAAGGTCGATATTTTCGGTACTAGTAGCCATTGGCGAAATCCATCTTGGAATGATAATAATAGTTTTTGAAGGTCGGTGTTGGTAGAAGTGAGCCTGCCAGTGCTTATTATATATCTTGGCTCGACCGTCTAGTAGTAGCCAAGTGGTACCTTAAAAATATACTACTAGTAGTACAATTAGTAGTTTTGTGGACGGTAAGAAGCACACACACACACACACACACACATCCAGATTAGGCGATGGTTTAATGCATGCCGACAAGTCTCATTTGATGGCATTTCTCATATGAAAAATAAATGCATGGTGTTCAGATGAATGCCGTAAAAACCATGATCGATGCGACTTGATGCCTGACAGATACAGCCTGGCTTGGCGTGTTTCGGCGATGGTAACCGAACGGACCATCAATTTGTCTCTTCCAACACCAATGTTGATGCAGTAGGAAGTGCTGTTCTGGGACGGCAAAAGTGTGCAGGAACTAATTATCGCTCTACAGCGTGCGAGGAATCGAAGACAACGTCTTATCAACATAACCATTTTTTCCAAACCATTTCCGGACTAGTCATCACTCCGTGGTGGCCGTTGAAAGACCCCTCGGCCTAACCAGACATGCGGTGACCGATAGCACCACCCAGCAGCTTGTGTCCGCAATGGACGCCTACCCGGAAGATTATGTTGCCCACAACCTCCCCTTCGTTTTGCTCTCCGGTCTTGAAGCAAGCGCCGACGATGATCTGCAATGCGTGCGAGCTGATTATCCCCTCCTCCGAGAGAGGGGCGTGAAGATATACTCGGATTTCCCGCCTCTGACCGGCTCAGTTGCGGAGGAATTGCGGCGTGTACTTCTCGAGGAAAACGCTTTCCGTGCCCCGTGGGATACTAGTGAGGGTGCACATGCATCTTCATCCAGAATTGAATACAAAATCAGAAGCGTTGGACGGGTAGGTTGATACACCGTGGCTGTCGAAGCATAACCCCCTTCCTCGTTGCACCTGCACTTCGGAGACAAACAGCTAGCCCACCCGCACCTACAGGGCGAGGTTTCGTACCACGCGCAAGCTTCCTTTGCTACTTCACATTTGGAAATTCTACTACCATTCATGCCGCAAGGGCCGCATTCACGCCGCTGACTTCTTATAGTCCTACAGTCTCCCCCCGCGCAAAGCTGACCCCCCACCCGTATCGCCGACGAGCCCGACGGCCGGACAAGACGATGAGATATCGCGTGGCACCCCCTTCATCCTTCATTCTCCCATATCCCCACTTACACCAAGCTCGCCGACGTTTCCAGATGGCTTGCTTAGCCATCTATGGGTCACTAAACACCAGGACCTTGTCCCTGCGGCAGTGATCAATTTCTTCCCCTTCTGCTTCGATCCTAATATGAGCTCGCTGCGCGACAATCAACTCAAGATAGAAATAAATGGATTGAAGAAGGAATGGGCATCTTCTGGATACAAATCCCGATTTATAGTTGTTCTCTTGTCAGAAGAGAGCACGGGCAGCTATGCTGGGGATGCGGAGGACAGAATGGCTAGCATTCGAAGGGCAACGAATCTGGATCAAAAGTCTATATTCCTCCTTCCGTCCGATGCGACGCCAGTGGAATTGAAGGAATTCGCCACGTCCCTGTTATCTCTTCTCCAGCCATCGGTGATGGAATACTACCGGGACCTATCGAAGCACGCCAGGCGCAAAAGAAATCGAGGCACCATCCCCCCGCCAACAGCACCACCAACAAGTGGGACGTCCCAGACCTTATCGTCTCAAGGATGGAATGTTCGATATGAATTCAAACTGGGTATCTTTGCGGAATTCCGCCAAGAAATCGATGCCGCGCTTCGGAATTATGAAAGCGCATACGAGACCCTGTTTGGTCAAGAGGTGTTCGAATATATTGCTGGCTGGAATCCTAGGTTTAATGATGCACGACTTCTGGGGGATGTACTGGCCATACGTATCATTCGCGGCTTGTTGATGACGGGACAGACAACACCTGCTGTGCGGTTTTGGACTAGCCACCGGAATCGTTCAAAAGATATCATCGACCGGCGCGGAAAAGGCACCAAGAGTTATGGCTGGGCAGCCTGGGAAGCTAGGTGGTCGATGGTAATGGCCCAGCTCATTCGCCAAGCCAATATTCCCTACTTCACCTCCGTCGGCATCCCCCAGGATCAGTTTCAAGAGCAATACTCAATCTTCGTACCACGTGACAAAACGGTTTCCCCTTCGGATGCATATCTTCCGTGGGAACAGCTTCATCATGAGGGTTATTGGCTCTATCGAGCGGCGCAGTATACTATGTACCGTCGAACCTTGGCGGAGCAGATTCCAGAAGACGATCGGATACCACCAGGACAGTCTCCCGCGTCACAGATAGCCAATAAGTCTTATCTATACGACACCTATTTGGTACCTGAGCCGCATGTTGAAGCACCCCAGCCGGGAGTGGTCGGTTTCAATCACGCACTGTTAAGATTGGATGCCTTGAAAGCGGCACTCGAAGAGTTCTCGAAGAGAGACCAAAACCGGAAAGCGGAGAGCATTAGCCTGGAGATTGCAGAAGAATATATGCGCCTAAGCTCATGGCCGGAGGCTTACGAAATCCTTCGACCACTGTGGTCGACTTTGTCATGGCGACGTTCGGGCTGGTGGCCGCTCATGCAAAGGGTTGGCTGGGCCCTAAGGGAATGTGCCGTACGCGTGAGCGATAGCGATATGGTTCTGCGCGTTGACTGGGAACTTCGACATAAGGGTGAGCTTATTCTATTTCTAAATCGTCTTGCACTGCATTAGCATCGCAGCTTCGATTGTCTTCACTAGTCCCCTGTCTAACATCATGTTATTCTTTCAGTGTTCCAACCGCGGCCCGACTGGGTGTATGATCTCCATAATAGTCTCGAGGACTTTCCTTTAGTGGATCCCAAGCCATCAGTGGTCCTGCGCGCAGAGGACATCGTGCCCAGCGGTAAGTTATTTCAGTAATATCATAAACTTACTCTTACTGACATTTTCCCCGGGCTCTAGTCACCGCGTCTTTCGTCTTTCAGAGTTCCGAAGGAAATGTAGGTGAGCCGTCTAAGGGCCAGCTTATCATTACCTCCTGTGCCCAGCCCTCATCGAG